AACAAACTGCAACAGCTATGAGAAATAAACTCGTATCGAGCGAATGTTTATACAGGACATCTTTCTCCTAAGTTGAATACACTGAATCCACCCCAGCAGCTTGTCGCGGCTCCAATGTTGATCATCCGTACAACTCTGTCCGCGGATCAGAATCATCCATTTTCCCCCTCGCTCCGAGAAGAAGTGAACACAACGCGCGTATGTAACGCCCGAGGCGTTCTTCGTCGCGCTTGTTAATTGGAAATTGAACTTTACGAGCGTAGATAAAACACAGTATTAATGAAGACAGTCGTTTCTCGTTTATGTCGTCGATCTCATCACAATGCCGCAATAAAAACGAAGCGAAAGTACTGCCGATAGGTGTCGATGGTAGTAGAAGAGGCCAAGAGATAGAAGGATACACAGAAACATAGAAAGATAGAGACATACAGAAGAAAAACAGATAAAGAGAAAGAAAGAGGTAAGGAAACATGACTGTTGCTTTAGTTGCGAGATTCACGATGCAACTTTAACCCTTATGCTAGCCACTGGATACTTGAGTAGCTATCCTTGCATTTTGTGCCATACAATTTGTCACGTTTTCATGGAAATTTTACGAAATTGCTACTATTTAGATTTCTTGGATGTTTCTAGACTATGATTTGTGCTTTGAAAACAAGAAAATTCATGGAAAAATATTATAATACCAGAGTTTAAAGAAACATGAACATTTTGGTTGATAACATAGGGGTTAACTCTTAACGGTCGATAATGGTTTAGAATATACATTAATAAATGTAGGGAAAAATTGATAGCGCTGTCAACACAATAAAACAGAAAGTATATCTTCAACCACAACAATGTAATAAATAGAATTGAAACCATTCTTTTCATTTCTGTATAGAGAAGCCTTTCGACTGTTAAGGGCTAATCCTTCGAGTGTCAACGTTAATTACCACGTATTCAAGAAAACTGCCAGACGATTTTAAGTAATTTATAGTTGCAGATCAATATTAATATTTCAGTTAATTCTGAGTTAAAATTGGTTCAATCTTTTGCACAATACTAATTACATAAAATCACAACAAAGTATGCGTGTATTAACTTCCGACGTTATTCTATTAAAAAGCTGATTTTCTTATAAATTATAGCGATCAGAAAATCCAGAACTGATGTTATCATCCTTGGCACTCGTCACAAATGTATGGGACAGCGATATACCGTTGTTTATCATTCAAACGGTTAAATACCGAGGGAACCGCGCCGACACGATCAACTAGGAGATAATCGCATTCTTTCCTTCAAAGCCGTGGTGCCGCTTCTGTTCGGCCTCTGGTTTACGATTTGGCAAGGAACGTGAGAAAATGATCGCCGAAAGGTCAATAAGGCGGTTTCGTACTGAATGGGAAGAAGAAACATTTGTTGAGGGGTGGGCGGAGGAACGAAGGGGGTGGATAGATGGAGAGGGGAACTAATACTCATATTCAGACTTATTTCTAAAGGCACCGGTAACGAGGATCGAGATAATGGATGAAAGAACGAGCGAATGCATTAATATCCGTCCTTCGAGGTAATTAATGAAATCCGAGGCGAGAAAAGAGAAGAATGGCGCGGCTCTTCCGGTCGTGAATCTCTCACGTGCACTCGGTGTTTCGAACCGGTTGATCGGACACAGTCTCGGAAACTCGGGACGGTTGGTTGGTCGCCGAAATTCTTTGAAATTCGTTTCGTGGTTTTCTTTTCTTTTGTTTTTTGGCAATTTCTCGGTACATTATGAAATGTCGTTCTCTACGTCTATATGTCTTTTTTTCTTGTGATATTTAGTACGTGTTGAAAACAATTTTGGTATTTGTCTGAGTGTTTTATTGTCGATTCGAAATTGATTTGAAAGAATGAATTGGCGAAGAAAAGTAAATTTAAAAGAATGAGGGAAATGAAAATAGTTTTTAAAGAATTGCTTCATTTCCTATGTTTTTGGAAGCAGACTTAAAAGAATTTGAAAACATTTGGTAAAGAAAAGTAGGTTTAAAAGAATAATTAGAGAAAGAAAAATAGTTTTAGAAGAATTACTTTGTTATCTATTTTTAAAAAAATAGATTCAAAAGAAAATGGTCGTAATTATTTTGGGGAAAACATTAAAAAGTCCTATGAAGGTAAGAAACGTCCATCTTTTTACCTTCGTATAATAAGGTTAGTGGAACAATAACTTCGTTGTTCGCTGCTTCAGACTGTAATTATTAACTCGGTAGAAAATGAATGATCGATCATTATTCACGTGCACTGACGGGAAAAATGTTCATACATCTCTATACTTCAAGACGGTACCATGTTTGGTGTGACTTGAAGTTAAGAATTGTTTACGTCAGAAGACAACGTTATTGGAAGTTTAGTATTTATAGACGGATCTGACATAGATAATTCTTAATTTAGTGATAGTGATTGATCTACAAATAATTAACAGTTACTTTTTTAGAATTAATTAATTAACACTTCAACGTGCAAATGTCTCGTTTTGAAACACCTTTTACATATAATAAGAATATCATTGTTTAGTACAATCTGAAAAATAAATTTCATAACTTAATAAAATATTCTCTTACAAAATTGAGACATTGAAAATGAGACTACCAAATATTTAAAATAGTTGAGAGCACTTTCTCCTACAAGTGACAGTACATCTTTTCAAGTTTCTCAACAATGTTCATTTCACTATATAAGTAAAAATATGAATTTTTAAAATAACCTTTATAAACACCGGATAAGTTGCAATAATTATAAAATCATTTCAATAATCATAAACGTAATATCTGCCATTTTGATGAACGCAGTAGTTGGACTGTAAACGCGGCAATTTCTATTATTCAAAATAAACGACATTTCATTTTGCAACGATCCAATTGAAAACCGTTGTTCGGTCGTCCCTCCAATCGTTCAAATGAGTGTACGAGTCGAATAGAGAGAACTTCCTAATGAGGGCTCGAAGAAAGTGTAAAAAGATCGTGTTCCGAAGGCAGAATTCCTCGCAAAATCGTCCGTCAAACGTTTCGCTTTCACTCTCTTACGAATAACAGACGGCGAGACACGCGAGCGCCGCCAGCCGAACGAACGGGCAACGGTGCGCCCGCGCGCGCGCGCGCGTGTCTTCACGCGTTGAGTATGTATCTAAATCACAGCTCGTGCTACTAATTACTTATAACGTTATATACCTTTCTCGATACTCCGTTACTTACCGATCACTATGTGTTTCTTTCCATTATTCTACTACTTTTCTTCCTGTGTGTATACATAATTATATAAACGTGACAAAAAAATATTTATATATATATATATAATATGTATATATATATATAAGTATAAAGAAGAGATAAAAGTGAAGAAAGAAGAAATCGAAAGAACGATAATCAGAATCATCCTACGTAATAAAATAACGTTTTTTCTTGTTTAACGTTAATATCTCATAGTGGTATTAAATATCGTTGATATCGACGTTTGATCGTCGTCAACGGTCACGCCACGTTCCCTTCATGCTCGCAAATGAGTCGTCTTAGGAACAGCAATTTCACGCGTCGCGCAAAACGTGGCTACCGTCGATCGACGATCCGACTAATTCGTTACGTTGAATAAAAAAATAAAGGGCGTGTACCGCCTGCTTATATTATGCATTTACTCGTGAATTTATCGACAGAACGGGCGCACATAGGTTGACTTTTTACAAGGTGAGCTGCCGAAGTATCTCTGGTACCTGAAATTTACGAAACAGATGTAGGGCGAACAGTACTCACCTTCAGAATCTTTTCTCAGGACATTTTCTTTGATAAAACGAAACTTGTATGTCGCGGCTTGGCAGTGTCAAATGTTCTGCGACTGTTTTCAATCGAATAGCTACCATCCATAGGTATTAATATCATCGAACAGACACTAATGTTTCCGAAAATGATGACTCCATCCGCCTTGATGCATCTTCTTTTTCAATTTAACCGAACGCACTTATTGTCCTTTCTTCGTAAATTCAAAGGTAAACGAGATACTAAAAAAACTTTGCATCTCACCTCGTAGATGTCATCAGCTTAGACTTGCCGGCAGCGAATGCATAAAAATCCGGTAAACCTTCAACGATCAAGACCTATCAAAACATCGACGAACATTGACACGTCAGTTTTAACTCTTCGAGAGCCAAGGTTAGACATATTCTTTGTGCGAAAATGTTATATATCCGCAATATTACACGTACGAATGTTCATCGTACTCATAGTCGTCCATAAGCGTCCTCAGCACCCGAAGTGTTAACGCAACCGTGTCTGGCAACCGGAAGTCTGGACTGGTGACAGGAACAATTTCGTCATGGAAGCACATTGTAGGCTGTATTGCGATAAATTCACGAATCGTGGCTCTGTGGACGGTTTCTTCTGTTCGGTAGACAGTATCTTGGCCGACGAGGACACGGACACGACGGATGCGCGCATAGAAAAAGCGTTGTCCGCGAGTTCCGTGACTCGACGTGGCCGTTCGGATACCAGGAGCTCCGGTTCCCATCGCGGAACCGTTGAATTAAATATCGCCGAACATCGAACGGAAAACTCGCGCGTTTCGCCGTTGCTAATAATCGCTCCTAAGACGACGCGAGTGGGCCGATCGCAAGACGGGGTCAGCCTGTCTACCATTTACCACGTAGACGTGGCGTCGATCTCGCAATCGTCGGCCATTAGTCATGGTTCGCTCTGTGCTCGGGTTCTAACCTCGTTTATCGTAAATCATTCCGTTCGGCGAACGAAGACTCGAACGTCGGGTGAGAAGAACAAAAGGAAAAACGGAAGACAGAAAGAGACGAGAGAGAAGGAGATAGAGACACTTAGAAGGAGAGATAAAGAAAGACAAAAAGAGAGAAGGAAACAGAGAAAGATGAAAAAGCTACAGAAAAGAAAAAAAGACTCGCAATCTCCATCAGGAAAGGAGAGCAGCAACCTGACACGCCGAGTTCGGCGTGGAATTATGCGATCAGCTGAGACTCCCATCCAGCTCGACTAACTAGGCGGGTTGCAGGCGTTCCCCGAAGGATCAACCGAGACCTGATGAGGTTGACTCCTGTTTGTTACATTAGCACTGGTGTTGCTGGTGGTCTCGGCTGATGGGCTAGGATTCCCGCTGTTCCCGTTATTGTTCCCGCTATTCCCGGTCGCCTGTTGCTGGACGCTAGGCTTCTGCGTTACGTGGGTCTGATAGTGCTTCGCCAGGTGTGCCTTCTGCCGGAAACTTTTACCACACAGGGAGCAGGAGAACGGCTTCTCGCCGGTGTGCGTCCGGATATGCACGTTCACGCTGTACTTGTCCTTAAAACCCTTGCTGCAGATACTGCAGTAGTGGAGTGAGCGTTCCTTACGCTGGACGCTGCCCGGCGAGCCGCCTGACGCGCCCTGTTGCTGGCCGCCAGCGTTCCCGCCGCTTTCCGACCCGCTGTTCCCATTACTAGCAGCATTTGCGTTGTTGTTGTTCCTGTTTGCGCGTCTACAGTACTTCTTAGGTGTTTTCGTCGGGACCACCCTCGACGGGGCCATCTGGAGCTGATTGGTCGGCTGCTGTGGCTCTACTTCGGGTCTAGCAGGTGTCTGTTGCTGAAGGACATCCTGCTGAGGTGCCGTGACAACTGTCACCGTACTGACTTGACCCAAGTCCGCTGGCAGTGTGATGGTACCCAAGCTTCCACTCGTTGGGTCGAGCGTGTACATGACAGTGGTTGTCGCTGACACGGTGCAAACTGGTTCCAGGCTACAGTAAGACTCCACCACTTCGTTAGCTATACTCTTCAACTTCTCGTAGTCACCAGGACGATAAGTGGTCTGGTCCAACTGGGAGAGTAACAGGTCCTCCTCCGTACACGTGTGCATCGAGTCGTCCGGCTGCTGCTGTTGTTGTTGTTGCTGCTGTTGCTGTCGTTGTTGTTGTTGCTGTTGCTGCTGTTGCTGCTGTTGATCGGGTACGATCATGCTTGTGTTACTCGTAACCGGCATCGGTATAGAGCCTTGGTTAGATGGCGACGAGGAAGACACCACTTGAGCTGGACCGGTGTACAGTTTACCCTGGAGAGCGCTTCTGAGAAGACTCTCCGCTGTGTCTCCAGCTGCAACAGCGGCCGCAGCTGCCGCGGCTGCAGCCGCCTCCTGAAGGTTTTGATCGGAAAGCTTCCAGTCGTTGTTGTTGTCACCACCGGCGCAATTGCCGCTGTTAGATGATCCCCGGCCACAGAGCTCCTTGCTCTCGACAAATCCACTGTCGTCGGTGGTGTACTGGGAGGACGCAACAGAAAATCGATCCGGATGAAACCTGTCGTTCACCGTCCGCGACACTTCGCTCACGTTCGTCGTCTGGTCGTGGTCCGGCTCGGCGGAGGCCGGCTCCATGCTGAGGATAGCGTCCAGATCTAGGTTAGGCCGCAGAGACCAAGAATCGCTGGACGTGGGCGCGGGGCTCTTGCAACAGTCCAGTGCGTCCATTGAATTCGCTTCATTGTTCAACACTGTCAGCGTGTAGATTGCGCCGTCCGTGTTCTGTCTGTCGTTCGCGGAGCATCCCCTGGCAACGGCCTGATGGTGCTCGTTGGACCCCTGGTGAACGTTCACATTGTCATTCCCGTGGCTCTGGGCGTTCGCGTGCGCCGACCAACAGTACTTGTTCAGATCCTCTAAAAGTATATTGCAGGTTTGCTCCTTGGTCTCGTCGGCGCCCCAATAATCGCAATCCGATTGGTCCATAGGGGTCTGCTCGTTGCTCTGATGCACGTTACACGCGTGGTGATGCGTTCTCACGTGGTGATGGTGATGGTGATGTCCTAAGGAGCTGGTGATCGTTGACACGGGTGGTAGAGCGGTTAGAGTATTGTTGTTGGTCTCTTTGATGAACGGCGAACCGTGGAGGTCGCGGCTGGTCTCGTGCTCCTCGTGGCTCTGCTGCAGGTATCCCATGCTCCGGCAGGTGGTGCGGTGAAGGAAGCTCTCCTCGTCAGAGACGCCGTCCGCGGAGGCGCAGTGCGGCGGCGGCGAGACCACGAAGTCGAAGAAGTCCGTCTTCGGCAGATCTTCGCCGCCCCCTCCCGGGGCGAACGCTTCCGTTAGATCCATCGGGCCGGTCGGACGGTTGGCTCTCGCGGTCGCTTCTCGCGTCAGGATCGGGCTACCGGTGGCCTTGCTAGGCTGACTGGTCTGGCGGCGATGTCCGGGCTGGTACGTTTCAGCAGAGGCTCTGATGCCTCCTCGCCCACCGCATCCTTGAACTCTGGCAACTACCTGGGGACAGAGGGAGGCGTAGCTTCAGTGAAAGCGAGAAACTATCGCTGTTATCGGTACCGCTACCGCGGCGAGCTAACTTTCTCCTCGGCGCGCGCTTAACGAGCGCCAGCCAAGGGTAAACCGGATGAATTATTGAAACGCTGAAAGACCGCGCGGAACGTCGACGGCACAAGGTCCGCGATCATACGAATACCGGATCAAGCGGAACAAAGTTGCAAAACCTTTGCGCGCGGTAACAGGCAAAAGTCCCGGTCCCCAGTCCCCACGTCCATCTATCTATTCGTCCCTCCACCAGATCGAATCCCATAGAATCCGAGGACAATGGCGCATACCGCGACGCCGTGTCCCAGATTTTCCAGCGTTTTCTTAAGCGAGGGGCCCAAGCGGAATAGGATCGCTACCAACGCGGGCATTAGGCCGAAGAGCCGGGGCCCCGGCTCTCTCGCGTGGTCTAGGCGTGGGAACGCACCGTAGCCGTGTATAAATTCACCGTAGCCGAGCCGGCTCAGCTTGGCTAGCCGGTACACGGCGATCGGCCGGCACGTATTCTTGCTCTGGGAGTCGGAGCGATCGAGACGGAGAACGAGCTCCGCCGGAGGAGAAGGACGTTCGATTACCGAACGGGAGGGAAACGGACCTGGCTAGGTGGAACGCGATAGAGTAGGAGACAGGGGATAGATGCAGGAGACGGACTATGCTAGAGTACTGCTGGTTGGAACGAGAGGGAGAAGCCGATGGAGAGAGGGATCCAGATGCAGGGTAGGGGGAGGACATAAAGACCAGAAACTTTGTACACGGATAACGCGTCCACACAATCGCGTCGGTTGGTATGAGGCATAAGGAACGCTTGCGCAACTTCTTTTCCGCGAGCTATCATACCGCAACGCACGCTGTACCGAATTAATGCGGCAACAGTGCAGACGCGAGCCGCGGTTAAATGCCAGCCACGGTGTATAACAATTGATCGCGAGAGCCGTTGCAACGTCGTTGAGCCGTGCGCCGCGGCACCCGGATGTCCGAGGACGGAACAGTCTCTCGCGCGGCGCGTTACGAAATCGGCGGCCGATGGAATCGCTCGCGCGCTAGATCATCTGCGGTGATCAGCGCCAGAGCGCCGCGCCGCGCCAACGATTTCACGGTTTGGCGTGGAGCGATCGGGATCACGGTAACGATCGAGTTGATGCCTTTGAGGCGGAACCAGGGGAATCGGTAACGACGATGGCAATTTTCCTTTGTGCTTCGTCGTTGATCAGGCGCTTGATTGTATGATGTTGGAATTCTTAAATTTGTGGTTGTTTGAACATGACACTCATTCTTTCAACAGTCAATTATTCATTTTTTTAGAGACATATGAAATTCTTCTGCGTTTTGCTTTAGGTTTTTGTCAGAATATATTATAAGTGCGTTTGCCCTGCATTTGACAAGCATACTTTTCACTGTTTTATTTTATTGCGCATAGAATAAGACATTTTCGAAACAAAATTTCACGGTTAAGAGATTAATATTGGAAAGTAAAGTTGTTTTGTATATAGGTTTTAGAATGGAAGTTACATTTTAACGAAGAAATTTGAGAGCTTAAGAAATGTAGATATTTTGTGAGATTTTGAAAGAAAAGATGGGAAAAGAAAAGTGTGAGAGATCTTTTTGAGTTTTTTAAAATATTTTCTTTAAAGTAATGATTAAGTTTTGTTTCACTTGTCGCTGTTGGTGAATTTTCTGAATGAAAGAAGATGTTTAAGTGGTACCAAGGAGATCTAGATACGTATAGGATCGTATGGAATAAAAAATTGGAAATGTTTCTTGAAATTTTCTTTTAGAATAAAAATGGTTTCAATATATTAGATAATGCATTGACTATTTATTTTTATTCGCATACCCCTATGTAGTATTTTTAGTAAATATACACGAATAAATCAATCAATATTCTGACTGAATGTTTTCCTTAATGATCATTTGAATTATTCATTAATTGCATATTATATGCATCTTCCTTTATAATTGTAAACTACATTTGTTACTCTCCTGTCTTCATAATTTATACGTTACTGCTAAAAATCTGTACAGAAAGGCATTAGTATTAGAATTTGATTGATACACTGTTCAAGCTGTTAATGTCGATAACAATTGATCGATGCTGATAGAAATCGTTAGTCGCGTATTAAACGGATTTCTTCATCGTTTAAAACGTCGCGATATCAATGCAAGTTTACTGAATCGACAATGTCATTAATCGTTTGACTATCTAACAGTTGATCAATCCTGTCGGAATTGCTAACGCCATTTTAGGGCACGATGTCGCTGTATGTTTAGTGGGAGAATAAAATAGTAAGCGAGATACATATATTTTTGATTAATGTCTTGTGCCATTTTCGATTGCGTAATCGCACAATGGTTGTGAAATGATCGGACGCGATATTTAGGACAGGCAGGCTAGACTTCATAATAGGACAAATTATTGAACTTGACATAAGCTTCAAGGAAGCAAATACAAATTAACAGTTACATTGACATATTAGAACATTATTAAAAATTTCGTTACAGTATATAAAATCTTTCTAATATTTTTCCTGATAATGTTAATGAAACCAATAAAAGAATGTTTCAAAATATTTTATGTATCCTCTAGATTACTATTTATTTAATTATTATTTTATTTTCTTACAAAAATTCCTTTCGTCGCGTAATTTCTAAATTTGCACGCTATCCTAAACCACTACATTCAGAGAAATTCACATTAAGCAATAAAGAAATGTTACTTGGTTGCAAGGAAAAAGTTCGTTAAAATTGTAATCAAATATGATTAAGGTTTATGATAAAATTTTTCATTTTTTTAATTTTTCTCTTTTCTATACAAGACATTCAAAGAGAGAAGAAACAAATTTGGAATGTAATTTTACATAGTAAAATAAGACGAAGCTCAGTACTAATAAATCTGTAATAGACAGTTTGTTTCCAAGTTATTAATAATCAAAAATAACCCTGAAATATACCGATCCATTAACAGTAGCGCACGTGTGCTAGGTCAAGAATTTGCTATCAATAACGGTATCGTGTTTAGTTTATCGTTTGTCTTGTAAGGCATGTACGTTGTAAATTATTCAAATACATATTCCTACCGTCTAAAATAAATGGTTTAATACATCGAAGGAAAAAAACACTTTGCTAACACTGTCGTAAGACAAACATATTTACACATCAATAATCCCTCGAACAATAACGTATCTGAATATTAATGCGAGTCACTGTGCATTACCATTCGTATTATTTCCCATTACTAGATATACAACTCCCTCGTTTCTCTCGCGAGGTATCGATCAAGACACCTTTAGATTACAATCGCTATGATAACTCATCGATGATCTTTTAATGTCGATTAAATACTCGGTGCCTGACATTTACGATCACACTTTCAGCCTGCGTAATTGTGCTCCTAATTCGTTTCTACATAAAGAGCGAACCTACGTCTTCTAGCATCGCATTCTGTAATATGTATAAATACTAAGGGCTGATGAAATCTGTGTCTTTCACGTTGCAAAGTTATCGTAAAACTGGCACGTTTTCTGTCACGTGTCGTTGCATCGCCAGCAGACTTTTTTCTGAAAATAGATTCCACGTCCCAAGGAATTTATACTGATTAAAATTCAACTTTAATTGGTAGTTTCATGACGTTTCACAAGAATTAATGATTCCGCAATTTATTTTCCTTGGGGATTGCACGTGAAATTATATACACCATAAAAAATCGTGTAAACTTTACTGTTTACAAAATTCGAAGATCACTTTGAATAATAAATAAAAGCTTCTTGGTTATAGATCGCCAAAGAAATAAAAGTACAGAAGTGTGAAAGATTTTATTATTTCCAATTTAGTTAGGTATCCGTTTCAAACATTCTCATGTAAACAACTACAGTACCTACGAAATGGAAGTTATTGACATCACCAAGAATCTTTCCTATTTATATTTTATAAAAAGTATTAATACTTTGACTGCTATACCAGTATTTACCCAATTCTGTTGTATAAGAACTATCTATTATTGAAAGAAGAAAAGTATTAAAATTGATAGATACTGATAAATGTGAATTTAATAATAATTGCAGATTACGTTGTTCATCAAAATAATAAAAAGCCTATATCTCACATCACACGGATAATTTTCAAGCTAACACTTTCCAAAACTGTTCAACAAAATTCCAACAAAGTTCTACAGTTCCACATTTTCACTAAAATCCACGCCACCAATTAATAACAATTCTTCGAATTCAGAATATCAACACAAAGTGCTCATAACACGAAGAAAAACGATTCATAAAACAATGAAAGAAAATCCACGTACAAACTTATCGTCAGTAACGCTGCTAACCTCTGAAGACTTCATTTCAACATTCCTTACTCAGCAATATCCCAATTTTCCTCCAGAGCAAACGTCCATGGACAAGAAAGAATCGTTCTAAACGCATACTTGAAAAGTTCCAGCGAAAAGTGAGCGATCACTTCAACAATATCTCCTCGTTAAGCCAGCATCAGTAAATTACTCGCCAAGTACGTTTCCATCCAATTAAGCGGCTGGTCCGATCGATGCGCGACATCGTTCCCAGCGGTTTGATAGCTTCATTAAAGTGTCCGCGGACTCGGGGGCCGAAAAAATGTCGAAAAACGAGAAACCGGAAACTCCTCGGCGCGGCGAGAAAAGCGGCAGCAGGTGTCGATCGTCGAAACCGCAAGAGGGGTCACGAATTCGGAGAAACCGTGGCGTTTATCGGTTCTCGTTAGCCAATTTCGTCGCTGCCCGTTTCCGCCGTAGCCGGGGATCGATCTCGATGGAGCTCTGA